GGTCATTCCAGAAATGCGTTCTATTCTGAAGGGGCATCCTCTTACGACAATGAAACGCCAATCTTATTACCTTCGATGTTCATATGTATACACAGTTAGTGCGCCGATTGACGAATTCGTGCTGCATGAGAGTAAGGTCACAATGCCCGCTTGGCTATCTAACATACACAACGCGAGGCAGAACGTAGGTGTACTGTCGTTCTCACGGCCGGCTGGGATTTATTTTCATCATATTGGCAACACGGTAGTGTAGCCAGACTACAGGCCACACTCCTCTTTACAAGCCGCGGACAGTATATTGAAGATTTATCGACGCGCCTACACATTTCGGGAAAGTCTATCATCAAGTGTCGAATGCGCGGCGTCATTATTTATCTTGTCTGATAGCAAAAATCTCCGTTTGAGATTTAGAGAGACGTGAGAACTGCACATGGTGAAGAAACTATGAACCGCAGGAGTGGGTACAAGTTGTATCACAAGTTTAAATACCGTCGTACGTCTTTGTATGATAAACAGAGGAGCGTAAGACCTTCAAGCTTGACTGATGATAGCACAGAAACCCTCGGATGATGGAGTTGGCGGGAAATTACTTCGAAAAAGTCATCGAAAAATTGATAACCCGCCTCACCACTTTCATAGAAGATAATGCATAGTCGCCAACTCCATCGTGTATTGATTTCTGCGGTAGTTTCGTGTAGTAGAGATCAGGAAACTTGCTTCAACTGTCACGGAAGTAAAGTATCACCTATATTTTTGTTTAGATAATATTAAATATATATATAATAATATATAATTGGCGCTTTGTAACCGCCGAGCTCCTCCTCCAATTTGTGGTTTCGCATTTTGATGTTTTTCCAACAAATGAAGTAACCTACTGTTTATACTAAGCCGCCTCCGAAAGGCTGATGGTTTCTTTATGAGGAGCTTTATTTCATTTCAGAAATACACTATGAGGGGTTGACATTCCCTACCGAGGGGCGACCGAGGCCTTCCGAATGGCAGTACGTAATGCTAACTACTCCTCTATTCCGGCCGAGAGATCATATCAGTTTAAAATGTTTCCGGTTCGTATACTCCAGTGTTTCTTCTTTGCTCTGAACACCCCTAATTAGTTCGCCTCGTTTCGTTCCATTTCTTGGAAACTACACTATGGCGCTGTTTCTTCTGCTAAACCCATGTGAATGCAAGAAAAGCGAATAAGTGCTAGATAATATTATGCCCTCGCAATAGGCCTAAGTCTATCAATATCTTACATCAAGCAACAACTTCAAAGTTTGTACGGTGGTGAGAAAAAAAGAAATATCAGAGGTTGATCGCGCGATATCAACATAGTTCAACTCTTCCAGAGAGGAAACCATTGACAGAACGGCTTAGACGAAAGTACAGATTTTTCCAATAAGATTTGCTATTTTGGTATTCAAAAAAACTTGACCCTTAAAAGATCGATGGTTTCGTTGCTTATGTGGCACGTTGCGCCGTCTTGTTGAAAATGAGCATTGTCTAGATCAACACCAACCAATTTCGACCATAAAAAATCATTAATCGGCTCTCCATAGCAGAATCCATTCAAAGTCGAGGAAGGTTCAAAGACCCCAACGGACCATAAACTGCGCCAAACAGTTAAACATTGAGGATAGAGAAGCTTTTCGCCAGTAAATCTTGGGTTTTCCGCGCCCCAAAAGCGAGAATTTTGCTTAGAATAATGCCCCTCCAGCAAATTGCCGATCCTGTCAGTGCTTGTCAATATACTGACACATTAAGTGCACATTTCAATAAATGGGTTGGCATGCATCTACTGCACCTTGTAGTACAAGCAATTTGCGTTAATTTAATTTATTATTTATTTTTTTTTGTTTTTTTTTTTGTTTTTGTTTGAACTTCATATGCATGTTACGCCTCATTCTCTCATGCATACACCTGAAATCGGCACCCCCACTTTGCCACTTGCACGCTCTCACGCGATTCGCTACTAATGAGAATTCCATACATCGGTAAAATATGCGGGATTAATAATACGAGGCGGTACTCGTATGTAGAATAGTACATACAAGCTCTTGCCCCGCAGAGTTCAAGCTGGATTTGATAGTAATTAATATTGAGTATGAGCAATATGTATGTGTGCATCAGTTGCGGAGCTGTTTGTTTGGCACAGCGAGGAACGCTGGGAGCCACATATTATTGTATTATATAAATTAGCGTCGGCTTTGTTGTTCAGGCTACTCGCGTTTGGTAGGCATTGTTGGCCGCAATAAAATATCGCCATATCTTGTGAATAGCGCTAGCAATAACGGCGGACCTCCTACTTTAGCATGCAAGACACTTGCCTGTCATGAGATTTGTTTAAGACATCTTACGAGCGGAAAGCGACGCGCCTGGTGGTGGCGGCTGCTGCATATCTTCAACTTGTTGCGGCGTAATTATTTGCAAACGAGCTCATGTTCTGTGTTCTCGAGCGTATTAAAGCTTATTATCGCATTAGTCGATGGATTTATTCAATAATTTAATGGACTTTCTCTCGTCACGCTTACGAGAGGCATGAGTTGGCCTTCTAACTTTCTTATTTTCATCTTAACTTCGGTGTTCTACAGCCCTCGGCAGGGAATGCCGATTCCCCGAAATTATTTCTGACTAAAAGTAAAAAGCTCTCAACACTCCTTACACTCCTTACCGATGATAAATCACTCTCTATAAGTGTGGTTGGCCAACTCATGAAGAACTTTTAAGCGCTGGAAACACCCTGGAAAACTGCTCTGGAAACAAGGCAGCGGACGGAGGTCTTTAAGTCTGAACGTAAGCCACCTAAATTCGCTAAACTTCAAGCGAACTGCAATGAAATAAGGTTGTATTTAGGTCAACTCTGCAGGGAATCTAGCACAGAAACCGCCCTAAAAGCGCAGCCGTATCCCAGTTGTATCCTTCTTGCACGCAAGCTGCAATAAGACCCTAATGAACATTTAAACCAGATAAGTCGGATTGATTTCACTAAATCCCTTACACATGATGGTTGCCGCATCTCACACAAGGAGTGTTTACGTTTCCTGGGTGCGCGACGAGAGCGCAAGAGGTTGAATTGGGTACAGTCTGGCTAATTGTATACCCACCAGCAGAGGTACACTCCTTTACGCCCCTGCAACTGCAAATTGAGGCACAGCAAAAGCAAAAGCTCCGTCAGGATCTTAAAGAAGCTCTACCAGCCATTCGTTACCAAAGGTCAGCACAACTTCGAGCGCATATCTATTTAAGAAAGAGAGAGAGAGAGCATCCACTCCAATAACAATAGCAGCGTGGAAATCCAAAGTTCTCTTGACAAATTAAGACCAAACTCTTCAAGCAGTTTGATATTTCCGTCCCACTCGAGCCCACAGAAGGGTCTGATGAGTTGGCTTTAGTAATCTTCGAGGGAAAGATTTTTACAAACGATTTATGGAAGTAGGGTTGTACGAGCTTCATGAGATATGCGACGACATTTACTTGCTTCAGCAAGCTATGAGAGACAGCTTAAACGCTGCCAAGGTCATGTCGTCTGTATGAGCGACACACTTCAGCTTGAATGTTTTCGACACAGTATCTACCAGTGGATGCAGAGAAACTTCTACCAAATTAGAAATATCCGGTGGAGGTGGACCGATTGGCGATATACTGTTGAGAGAAGAAACGAATAGCGCGCTGTTGTCAACTTGGATGTAGCCATGTAAGCGGTGTCTACCCAAATTAAGAATAATAAGAAGAAGAATATGAATTCGTCCGGGACAAAAACCCCCACTTTAGGTCAGAAAAATATTATTGAGTTTTTGTTGAATTCTTGGAGATTTCTGTAATACGGATAAACGTTAGTCGCCTCGAGCTTATCTGCATATACAAGCGACTCCCAGAATTCAGTCCAGCAGTATTAAATCGCTGGATCCTGGAGCCCACGACACGATATAATGCACTCACCAAAAGTTTTCTGGCGTGTAGGGCAGTCTTGTTGAAATCAAAAGTTGTTCACATCAAAAACTTGCAATTCAGCCACGTAAAAGTCAAGCTCTATAGCGTTACCGATTGTCTGTAATATTATGGCCGTCTTCATTTTTGAAGAAATATTATCAAATGATTCACTCGGCCCATAGAGCCCTCCAAATATTTGTCCATTAAATGCATGGGAACTGCCTCACTTGCGGTGCGAGCTGGTGGATGAATTCATCCGGCTCTGCAGCTACAGCAACAGTGCCTTCGGTGCGCACTGTACGGCGCCAACAACAGCCAAAACAGTCGCCATCGACAGGATCAGATGGTAATCACTTCGTACGTGGTCTAGAGAACAAGGTGGATACATAAAAACCTGCCAACCGAGCTTTTAGCAAGTCATTACCGATGTGAGTGATCTGGTGTTGTCCTGTTGAAACACAACTCTCGTCCTGTTGGCCAAAGCAGGGCGTTTTTGGGCGATTGCTACTTTCAGACGATCCAAATACTAGCGGAACAAATCCGCTTTAAGAGTTTGTTCGTAGGACAGCAGCTCATACTGAATGATTCCTTGTCAGTATCACCATACACACAACTTAACCTTCTAGGCCGTCCTCTGGCTTGCAAACTGTATGTGCAGCATCAGTGCCTTTCGACCACGACCGTTTCGTTTGGCGCTGCTGCAGGTGTTGCACTTACACAACACCATTCACCATCAGCTTTACAAACGGATCGATTCGCCGTTGGCGATTCGGTCCATGAGGATTTTTCTTATTAACTCATTTGACACCCATACATCAAGTATCCAGCCTTTTTCGAGTGGTTCCGAACTGTGTCTTGTGTGATATTAAACTAGCGTGATGATCTCACGCGACGATTTCCCTTATTTTATCAACGTTTTCGACAGTTGTCCTTCTGCACCGTTATCAAATCGCACTTCTAAAAGGCGAGATACAAATCACTCGGGCGATTTGTTGCAAACATAATGTATTACTTTTTCCTAGACCTGTATTGAATGCAAATTTTTGAAGTTGATGCGTCAACAGCTTACTCACTCGAAAACTCACCAATGGTAAATACTGTTATGTTTTGGAATTTGTTTTTAAATTTTCAATAATTTACACTTATTTTTCAATCGCAAAATTTCAAATCGCAGCCAACGAGAGTCTAATTCGAAACGCAACTAAAGGAATGTAGTAATTTGCCAAGCAGTTGATATGAACACGCTCACATACATATGTACATACATATATATTTACAAAATATTTACTTTTTTCTGCTGATTGCCATTTGAAGGAAATTTTGAAGCAATAAAGAAGCTTAATTCCAATTAGCTGCAGAGCTTGTGAATAAAATGTGGCTCTACATATCTCTCGATATATGTATGTATGTATGTATGTAAGTATATTTCCATATAATGAGTGCTGTGGTGTCAACCAAGAATTGCAAATTATCAGAATTAGAAAACAATTCTGATTTGAATTGATGTCGAAGAATCTTAAATCGAGGCGAATTTATAGAAGGTGAAGTTGTCACATCACATGATTGCTTGTTCTTCCTTCGATTTCAACAAATTACACAAACAAAATATAAATATGAGAAATAGGTTTTGACATTAAGAAACATTTACAGCTACACTTGTGTAGAAGATGGGGCTTGAGACCGAGTATCGTGCATCGGATATACTCATCGGTAGTTAGACCAATCCTATTCCATGGGGCCACCGTCTGGTGGCCGGCACTTGAGAAAATCACCTTCAGGAGCAAATTAGAGAGAGTTCAACAAACGGCATCCATCCTGATAACGGGAGCTTTGCCATCAATTCCCTCGAAAGCACTGCTAACTCTTCTCAACCTCCTTCTTCTGGATCTATACGTGCAACTATAAGCGGGTTGCAACGCAATAAGATTGTATGCAGCTCAACCTTGGAAGAGTTTGCAGTATAGGACATACAAAAATATTATCTCTTACCGAAAAGCCGAAGAAGCTGAACTACACCACCTCCAGTGTATGCTTCAATAATCTTTTCTCCACAAGGATCCCAAGCCGATGCGAGTTGGAAAACACCTCCGTCCCCGACCAGAGGGAGCAATAGCCATTTTCATAGATGGCTCGAAGCTCGATGGGAGTGTGGGTTGAAGAGTTTATTCTCTCAAGCTCTCAGTAAGCACAAGCATGAGAATACCGCGACACAGGGACATCCAAGACAATTGCATGGCAGACGAACTCGCAAGAGGTGGAACCCTTCTATCTACGTTAAAACACGCACATGATGCTGGTTTACCTCTGTCCACGGCTAAGTGCATGCTTATACTGGCCCTCAGCAGGGAAGCCGACGCAAGATGGTTGAACGAGATCACGTGTAACGTGACCAGATAGCTATGACCGAAGTTGGACACGAAAAAATCTAGACATCATCATCATCATTCTGGACCGGTTCTCCATTAGCATAGCGACGGATATAATAACTGGACACTGTTTAATGGGGCTTCACGGGATTAGCAAGGGATATCACTTAAACGATTTCTGCCGCGGCTATAGGGACGAAGAAGAGGAGGAGATCATCGAGCTCTACCTCTGCCACTGTCCAGCTTTGACATCAACGCGACACAAGTTTCTTGGGAAACACTTCTTCGACTGTCGCGCTGAGTTGGCCTCTGAGAACATTGGAAGACTCGTTGCCTTTATAAGGCACGCGAAATGGTGCGACCATTTGAGAACGTGAAGACAGGAGCCTCAGCGGTATCATAATGCGCCTATTGGCCTAAGTGTGTTAGGGGTGAGCAGCAGCCGCATCAACTCAACTCTTAAGTTACGATTACTCACTGAGAAATCTACTCAATATATTTTTTAAATATTTGTATACTCGTAAAATAAATTTTGTAAACATTTTTTTTAAGATTGGAAAATTTTGTTTCTTCCTTTTGATTTTTGGTGAAATGAAATCATAGAAAAATGGCAACCCTGAATGGGTGCATATGCTTATCTTATCATATTGTTTAAATAAAAATACGTGTATATATATATCTACATATACATATATGTATATGTTCAAGCTTATCAAACCCATAATGGGCCTGAAAAAGCCTTCCCACTTATGTCTGTATGTATGTATTTGTATATGTATGTACAATGCATATGTGTTTTCTACAGAAAGTGAAAAAATGTTTTTATGTACATACATAAATGTATTATTCCCTTATCACACCCATTCTAAACAAAACATATTCATAGATAAGAAAAGCGGTAGATAATGAAAGCCGGCCAAAGCTAGTTAATGAATGCGTAGAAGAAGAAGCTCTGAGATAGCGGGTCATACCACAAATTCTCCCAAAAACCACACAAGTTGAGTTTGGATAAGCGCTCCAGACCATGAAAGATTATCTTCCAAGAAAAGTACAAACTCAGTAAAGTCTAAATGAGGGCGCGTTGTATTTCGAACCAATGGCGGGACCTACAGTTTATTCAAAGCCACCTCGGCATGGCTGATGTATTCTTATGAGGAGCTTTTGTTTTATGTCGGAAGCACACTCGGTGGGCTTAACATTCTCTGCCGTGGCGCGATCGCAGTTAGAAAAATATTAATTTTTAAAATAAGTTTTGAATGTTGGTCCGCCCAGGCTTCGTACATTTGAGCTTACACGTGGTAGTAAATACTGCTGGTACTTCGGGTAGTGCGGTCCTCACAATGCGAGTATACCAATCGGATATTTTCCGTCCAAAACTCCCACCAAACGGTCTCTTAATTCGCTGATTTGTTCATCTATGGAGTTTGCCGTGGTTAGCGCACAAAAGTTCACAAATCTTTCGCAAAACCTCTTTCTCCAATCTCCAAATATATCAGGACGGAACTGATGAGCGACTAGCAGAGATTGGCCTTTGTACGTCGATATTTCAAGGCAAATTCAGACATAGCGACGTAAAGGCAGCTACTTTTTGTGCCGCCTAGCGATGATGTGTGTCGGCTCCAGTCGCTTTCTTGCTCTTGGGGAGGACAATACAAATTTCGTCATATTAGAAAAATTCAGTTATCGCTATACCGCTATACCGATGAAAGCTTCCTTCCGATACTTATTAAAAGGGAAGGGAAAGACTTTACAAACAAGGGCCACTAGCTCTACAAACAATCATCACCACAATGGACACTTGAATGAGGCAGAACCAGTTCTAAGGAATTACATCAGGAAGCGCATACCATATAACAAGTGCACAACGAAGATCCGCATATAGCAGCCGACTAACCTGCCATTTGTCCCTTTTGAAACTAGACCTACTCCGGTGTTAACTCCTTGCACCATTAATAATACCCCTTGCAAGGTCTAGGCCTCAAATCAATGCATTTAGAACCTCATTTTTTTTTTATTCCAGCCCATCGAACGGCTAATGGCGTTAACCGACCGTTAGAAGACCTCTCATGACATCATGTTGTAAGGTTTGAAGAAACTTTAAAATCCACCACGACTGAGACGAATAAAGACCAAACTCTGCGTGCAGTGTTCCTCGTGTCTTATGGTACAGTGGACGTAGACGATGGCTCTGAGCTGTGAGCTCTAAAATTTTTATATCACAAGTACGGTGTGCTTTATAATACCAAGTTCGTAAATGACAGTAAAGGAGAAAGTAGTGAGCAACAGTAGCTGAGTTCCAGGCAAACCCGAGATTCGGGTTGTTCGCCAAGAAAGAGCCGAACTGAAATTTTTAGGAGGTCGCTTTTATGTCAAGGGAAAGCCGAGATTCGGGTTGTTCCGGAGCGTAGGTCTCTTTGTGTCTAAAGCAGCTGAAATTTTTCGGTGTTTCATGAGCCAAAGGTACGAAGGAACGAAGATCAAGGAAAAGCCGAGATTCGGGTTGTTCCGGAGCGTAGGTCCCACTGTGTCTAAAGCAGCTGAAGTTTTGCGGTGTTTCAAGAGCCAAAGGTACGAAAGGAGGTCGCGTTCATGTCAAGGAGGTGCCGAGCAGGGTGGGAAACAGTCACTTTTGGTGTTCCAAAAGGCTTGCTCGCCCTTGGAACTCAGCACAAGTGGCATTTACATGTGTTGTGAGCTAACAAAAATAATTATTTTATTTTTTTGAATTTTATTTTAATTATTTTTATTATTTATTAATGCAAAATTCAGTGCAAATCCTTTCCTTATGCCCTTATTTGTCAACATAAATGTTGCTCATATCTTTCACCCCATTTTATATACACACGATATGTATATATTTACATACGTGTATATACAATAAATCAAAGACGGAAATCCTGTTGCCCAAGCCGCCGTCGGACTTAATTTGACACCTATGAGGGCAATTAACCAACTGCGATCGGCATTCATGGCTACTTGCGCCACCTTCAAATACACTCTTTTAGGGCATACTTACATATGTGCATGTGTGCATATATACCTACAGGTATGTACGTGTTGTAAGTTTTCATGCTGCCGACGACACATTTTTTATTGTTGATCATCAACGATAAATTTTACCGTAAATCGGCCGAAATAAGGTGACAAGCTGTAATAATTCTTTGCCACCCAAAAGTAACACTTTTTTTTTGAATGCAACAAAAACAAAAACAACAGGAGTTACATATTTTCAACAATAACACCTTCGCAGCTGAGCTCCGCAACTCAAAAAAAAAAAAAAAAAAACAACCGAACCGAACCGAAACGAAACGAAAAAGGGCCAATTAACAATGAACGAAATGCGTGGCGTTGCGCCCACGAAGGAGCCACACACACACACACACACACACACATATATACAAAACATGGTCATACTACTTACATATAGATAAACATATGTACATATGAATATGTACACACAAGCCAGTTGAATGCAACGACCAAAGTGGGTATATCAGCGGCCATGCGGCTCCATTCCAAAAGCAGCAACAATAGTTTAAGTACAACGAAAGCACCAACAAAAGGCGCTCGAAAGATGCAATACAATGGCAAAAATAGTAGCGATTATCGTGGCCATATAAATCACTTTCGGCACATTTGGTCGCCAGCGGCGCTTTTTCAGCACCAAGAGGTGGTCGGAAGCCGGCGGGTGGCGGGTGGCGGCTCGCGGCGAGCGGATTGCCCTGTGCAAGAAATATGAAATAATGTGACGAGGAGAAACGGTGAAAATGTGTACTTAAGCTGAGCATATATTGGAAATTGCTGAGACAATACAACAAATACAAACAAAAAAAAAAAATAAAATTATTTAGTTAAATGCTGCTATAAATAATATTTCTATGGATTTTAGGTGAAATAAATATGAGCTCCCTTTGAGTTTGACGGCTTGTTATGAGCTATTAAAGCTCTGGTGCACAATAACTGGTGGAGAAATGGCGTAGGAGTCCTTAAATGCAAAGAACACCAACAAACCTTGAGAGTCGCGTCCTTTAATTTTACCAATTGTTGTTGTAGCGGCTCAATTGCACCATCCGGGAGTGAGTTAATTAGGAAAAGAGCTACCTCAAGCGGTTTGGATTAGAGGAAAAGCGGTATGCCATGAGTAGGAGCTTGCAAAAAGGGCGCCTAGTAAAGTTTAGGCTGAAAGCTTCAGTTAGTTTCGCTGAAATCATGAGCCCTAGATCTACTTCTGCAACTAATATTTCTGCTACTCTCTCCTTCCGTGTCTAAGATCAAGTACAGCTTGTAATTGTGTTAGAATTCATACTACATAAGGTCCAGGAAACGATATTTTTTCGAAATGGTCGTGCCAAAAGGTAAGAGATTCGGTTAAAGAAGACATGCAAGTGAGATGGTTAGTAGAAACTGGGATCTTTCGTCGAGCACAGACCAAAGTGGGAGGGTGGTGCTTTGTTGAAATTGCTGCCGGGCATCAGCTCACATTGGCCCATTGTGATACCGCCGAAGATTCACACGCTAATCAAACCAATAAGTGGAGTTTGCAAAAGTTCGCAGTCGACGTATATTAGCCCTCGGCATTTCACTCCCAAGTCTCCAAAGATTTTTACCTCTTAAGACTTCAACCTACGTTTCGAAATGATATGCCTGGGTTCTCAGGATTATCTCTTCACTACTATTCAGCAGGTTGGAGAAGTGTTCCCTCCATAAATTCAATATACTTTGGGCGTCGGTGGATAGATCACCAACTCTTTGTGTCCTACAAGAGTCTGCTCCGGTCTTGAAACCTTCCTTAAGTCGTCGGATCTTCTACGTAGGGAGTTTGCGATGCCACCCCACAGGTCCCATTTACCGAGTTGCTGGTGTGTGCTCTCAGAGAGCAGGAGTATAAGTCCAGTAGAAATTCGTTCGGCATTCTGTTGTGATTGCAGCTTTTCAATATCGAACTTTCCTTATGTTTGTTGATTGACGTTCTTTGATACACAGAGGCGCATGCGTATCTTCGCTGCAACAAGATAATGGTCCGAGTCGATGTTGGGTCCTCCTATCACAACATGATCGATCTGGTTTTGTGTTTTACGATAAGGGGACAGCCAAGTAGCTTGATGTATTTTTTGTGCTGAAATCTAGTACTACAGACAACCATATTTCGGGCCCCGGCAAAGTCGATCTGCCTCAACCCATTAGATGTTTCGTTGTGAAGGCTGGATTTTTCTGACTGTTGTCCGAAAATACCTTCTTTGCCCACCCTGGCGTCAAAATCGCCAAGCACGATTTTCACGTCATAAAAGGCATCTTTGGCCAAATCGTCCTTCTCTTCCGTCGGAGCGTGGGCGCAAATCCACGATATGTTGAAAATTTTCGCTTTGAAGCGGATTGTGGCGAGACGCTCATCCATCACGGGGTGAAGGACAGTACTAGACGACGAAGTCTCTGTCTCACCAAAAATTATATAGCCGCTGCAGTAAATGTCACAAGAACTTACTCGCTTTCGTCCTTGTCCCGTCCATCGCACTTCTTGGATGGCGGTGATGTCAGCCTTTATTCTTACGACGACATTAACTAGCTGGGCAGCGGGACATTCCCAATTAAGGGACCGGAAATCTCAGATCTGGGGGTCGTCAACAGAAAGGGGTATCTCATCCAAGGCCAAATTTTTCGTTTCGAGCTGGTTTCTACGTGGCGGGTCCCAAACCCAGCTCACAACCTCGTGAAGCGAGCAAGATTAAACCGAATAAGTCGGATTGGCTCCACTGAAGCTTCCTCTCTTATTAGCCATGACACAAGGCTCCACATGGGTTGGTTATCGCATCTTGCACAAGGGTTGCTCACGTTTCCAGGGTGCGCGACGTGGACGGAAGAAATGGAATTGAATATAACCTCGCAAATGTAACAGCATACCCAGAAGCTTGACTACATCCCATTACACGGAGAGTTACTTACCGTTTAGTTCATTCATTCCCTAAAAGCGACATTCGGCCGAGCTCCTACTTCAATTTGTAATGCATGCGTCTTAATGTTTCAACAAAAAAACGGAGCCGTCGGCCTTCGAACGGCAATTGAATTTTTGTTATAAGCTTCTTATTTGAAATTATTTTCCCTAAGTTTTAGTTGTTGGTCAAAACACGACTGGAACCCTGGTCTTTGGATATTAGTACGCAATGTTAACCACTCGGCTATTGTGGGGTACAGACTGTTGGACAATTTACATGCTTAAGTTTTTGGGGTCACCCTTGGCTGCTTTGCTGTTTAATGAAAGGAACCATCATGTCGTGGAAAATCATCTAAACACGGCCAAAAAGGAAACGATTGACAGAAGCTATTTGTCGGGACACTTATTGATTCAGCAAACATCATCCTAGTGGTCCAACCATAAATAAATAAGAATACTGAATCATTTATTTTTTATCTTACAATTCAGGTTTCGCGTTTATTTCAACTAACTTATTAAGAAATAAAAATTATAAAAAAAAAATTATGCAGATTCTTAATGGTTTATGTGACAATTGTTTAAAAAGGTTACTTTTTCAACACACACACATTCAAGTAGAACATATTATAGCAAATCATGTATCCCAACGAACCACAATAATTTAGGATTTATTTTCTTTCTTTTTTGTTGCTTTGTTGCTTTTTCTTTAGTGTTTGCTGTCACACTCGCTGGCGAGCAGCGGCGTAGCTCATGAAATGCCACACAAGTTTAAAAATATCTATTATGCAAAAATTATGTTATTCTTTTATTTTACTCTTTTTTAATAATAATTCTAATAATTACATATTTATGTATATAGTGAAAATAATAAGCAAACACATAAGCATACATAATTAATGGTAGGTAGGTAGGTATATCAGCGTGTATCTGAAGTGTAACCATAAATGATTTATAATTTTTTTTTTCCATTGTTCTTTTTAAATATATAGTAGTATTAATAGCAATTTCCATAACGCAAAATGCACATACAACGTTAACATGCGGCGTGTTTACATGTACACAAACATATACCTACATATACGTAGTTAAATAAAGTGTTGGCCAAGAAACCGAGAAATGTGGAATACGAAAATAAAAAGAAGGGCAACTAGCAATATCCAAAGCCAAGTAAACGAATCATTGTTAGAGAAATCAAGAGGAAATGCGAAGAAATAGCACACGAGCTGGCAGCTTAAGACCGCGAACAACGTGCAACACACTTCTTACCAAGTGTATATGATCGTATGCATGCATGCTTGTATGTACATATGTATATGTGTGGATACGTAGTACGACGGTAGTGACGTCTACCAGCAAGCTGCAACCGGCATTTTGCTTACTTGAATCCACTATTTTCACATTGTTCAACGCTCACCAGAGCAGTGGACAAATATAGACTGTTTACATGCATACATATACATATATGTATGTACATATATAAAAATTGGAATCAAATATCGCATAGTTATTGTTGTTGTTGCATCTTCTTACAAGTGATTTAGCATATTTTCTTCTTCTTCTTCTTCTCTTTATTCTATTTAAACTATTATCATATCATTTAGCTTGTATTAAAGTGTTTATAGTAGAGTATACACATATACAATACATTTGACATTTATATATTATATTTTATAAGTATGTGTGTAGTTATAGCAATTTATCATTTTCAATCATTGATTAGGCATTTGTTAATGCATGTTTTTTTTTTTATTATTTACTTTATTTTGTTGTTTTATTTATATTTCATTTATTATACTCATTTTATATTGTTGTTGTTGCTGTGTTATTGTTATGCGAAGTAGAGTAGCTTGTAGTTTTAAAATCATTAAGACATCTTCAGCCAGCATCGTTATATTTGTTTGTATGTATGTATGTATATTATGTATTTAAAAATGTTAAATAGCGTACCGGAAAATAGTTTGTTCCTCTATTAATCCACAAAATTTTTTTCCGCATTATTTTTTACTCTACTTATTTGTTATTACATAATTCCATTTCCTTTTTTACTTTCTTTGCACCCGCATTACAACTACTTAAACCCCCGCCCTCGTCACCAACAAAATTGAATCAACTAAAAGCCGTTGCATTCACGTGTACGCAACCCACTTATGCCCAGCCAACCCCCCTTTACAACGGCTACTCCACCGTATACCGCATAGTCTGCGGCTAATATGCACACATAGTTAAGCACTTCAGTCTTCGACGGCATACTTTTGAGTCCATTCACGTGCATTTTTTATGGCCTCAGCCTCGTTCACCTTCCACAATTCGGCAACATCATTAGCTAGTGGATCATCTGGATTGGGTGCACTCAATAGTGCTTGAATTGAGAGTAAAATTGTACGAATTTGCAATGCTGGACTCCATTTATCCTTAAGCACATCCAAGCAAATGCGTCCCAAACGATCGATATTCGGATGATAGATTTTGGTAATGAAACGTACTTTTGGCGCTGACATTGGGTAATCTTCAGGCAAGAATAATTCCAATTTGAAAACTCCACCCTCGAATGGTGAATCATTTGGACCCGTTACGATGACGTGAAAGTAGCGTGCATTGTTCTCATCAGGAATGGCATTAATGCCAGGTACAGGTTCCTGCATCAAACGTTGGGTTTCCTTAATAATGCGACGTGGCAGACTGGACATGTTTGCAGTTTGTGTTTTCTTCGCTTTGTATTTAACTTGTTGAACGCTTGTTGAATTGTTAATAAATGAATGAATTTACGCTTTCGCTGAACCTTTTCCTTTTTCGCTACTGTTCGCTAGGGAACGATGCACATGTGAAAGGGGAACGCTGCAATTACACAAACAGCAGTAAAATCAATCATGAGTAAGGGTATAATTCAACCATTTATAATGGAAAATATGTATGTATAAAATTTTTTTTAAATGATATAATAGAAAATCGCCAAACCAACTGCGGGTAATAAGTTTTTAATTGCATTGCTTTTTAAATAATATAAATAAATATTTCAATAAATCTTAAATGTGCATGTGCCTATCTCTGAGCAGGAATACATATGTACACCCGCATTATTCATATCAAATATATATGTTTATATACAGGTATTTTTATAAATATTATAACAACAAAACATATCTTCGTCATAAAAACAGCTATGCCAAGTCGAAAGTTGGTGAAAGCTCTGCCTTATGGTTTTTCGTTTGCAGGTTGAACAAAGAAAACAAAGACAAGACACACAATTCCTTAGTGAAAAATTAAGTAAAGCTACGTGCATATAAGTATCTAAATAAATATGTAAAAATTACACAGTTCTACCCAAAGTGTGTGATAATCATCGATCAACACTTGGTTGCCTATAAAAAAAAATGTATTGATTTCTTACAGCACACAAAACAAAAGTAGATAGGTACGTGTTTCTCGAAACTACCACTAAATAGACCCCCGCACGCTACACGGGTATCTGTATGTACAAACGCGCCCTACATGACAAAGCCGAGTAGGCAGCGCGAGCCAGCACGTCCATTATTTTGCGTTTTGGAAAATCAATAAACCAAAAGAAAACGTATCTAAAAATATAACATGCATGCGCAATTTCACAATAGATAATGTCAATTTAACAAATTTCCAAAGAATTTAAGCTATTTTTATACACACTCCAGTAGTTTAAAATATTTTTAAAACACCGACAAATGAACTTGAAGTGCAGCTAGCAGCAACCACGAGACACCGATGAACTTGCAAATTTTATGTTACACTTTTTTCAAAGCAATTATTAACTATTAGTATATTATTTAAGGTCAAATAATTACTAGAAATTATTAGTGTAAACATTATTGTACACTCACCACTATTTTTTATTGGTTATTATTGCTTACTTTTCGTGTGTAATAATTGAAAACAAACAATTAAAAATTCCACGACAAACGCACTTAAAAAAATTTTTCTGACAAATTGACCAAACTGACAGCAGAGCGGAGCGTAGATGCTTCACGTAATGAGTAAGAGAGAGAAATTACTAAATTGCATTTGACATGGCGCTGCTATAGTAAGACGTTAGTGTAAGACTAGTAAAGCTATAGTAGATACTATAGTGCTGAGAAAATGTTGCTAGATGTGAGTTTTAAAACAACGAGCCTTGTGTAGGCTCATTAGGTAAGGTTGTATTGATGAAAAAATATTTAAAATAAAAGAAAAACATAAAAGGTAAGCGCGTTTAATGCTTTGCTGATTTAAATTCTACACTTTTAAAATTCTATATATCTAGTGGATATTATTTTGTTATATTTTTTATATGAATAAATTTCTCAAGAAATCACATGGTGCATTGGCCTTACATAAGTGTCGTTAGACCCCATATTCGCATATGGTGGGCAGCAATAAAGTGGAAATGCTGCTTTAAATCCTTGGAACAGGTCCAACGTATGTTCGTATCTGTCAACTTGTTTGTAATAGGTTGGTAGGCAATCAAGCGGGAGTTGAGGTAATGAAGTATATTACTATCGGGAAGGTGAGTATAATGTCCTAACAAGCTGATTGTACCGTATCAGTGCGCCTTCAGACCTGGTAAATCAACCATTGACTAGATATTCACCAAGCACCAAGTCTAGGAAAAGATTTGTGAAGAGAAGATCGACCACTGGGGTCTGGTAGTAAACGAGGGCAAGAAAAAATATTACAAACAGTCATCGCAATCGCGACTTGGCACCCACGTCATAACTTTGAAGTCGTAGATAACTTCGTTCATCTTGGAAGCAGTATTAACCAAAAACACAATGTCAGCCAACAAGTCTTGCCAACAGGTACTACTTTGGACTGAGGAGGCAATCAAAAAGTAAAGTACTTTCTTTACAAAGGAAGACCTAACTCTAAAAGTCGCTCATCGTTCCTTTACTGCTATATGGTGCGAAGGCATGGGATTAGCGAATACCCTAGCCCGTGGAATCAGATATACGGCGTTATTAATATAGTTCCGCGAAACAAGAAACAGCGGCTGTGTTGGCTAAATTATGTGGTCCGGATGGATAAGAGTATTCCAGCTCTGAAAGTTTTCGATGCAGCTTCTGCAAGTGCAAGCAAAGGAAGAGGAAGACCTCGGATCAATTTGAAGGATCAGGTGGAGCGCGATCTTGTTTCAATTGGCGCCAAACTGCGAACAGAAGAAATGAATATCGTAATTTTGTTAACGCGCTATAATCGCATATGCGGTGTCCAATAAGAAAGAAAAGGTTAATGCCATTGTGTATTTCTCATAGAAACCCTTGTCTCTATTGGCAAACATTTTGGGCATTCGATTCGATAGCTAGAAAAATCTAGTAATCATTTGCTGCGAGGCTCGGACTATAAAGATAATGTATAAGAGCTGCCAATTAAGCTCTCAAATCTACTGGGCGTACATTATCGATGTATGAATATGGTCCTCCGTTCTCCTGGTGAAACACAAATCTCCTCCTGAACGCTGCTGCGCAATTGTTTCCTTCAGACGATACAATTGCTCAGAGTACAGGTCCGAATTAAGAGTTTAGACATAGGAGTGCAGCACATAGAGTATGATTCCTTTGCCAATCACACTACAAAACCTTCCTTCCCTTAAGTCAATCTTGGCTTGGAGACCTTTGATGAGAGACCGGCCCGATCGTTTCCATTTGACGTTGTTGCAAGTGATCCACTCTTCACTTCCACATTTCAGAAACGGCTCGATTTTTTTACGATTGAACAGCGATTCGTGGATGGAAATTCTGGTCCAGTCTTCTCAAAGTTTCTACAAACTGTTTTTTGCAGTTTAGCGCCTGTGTAATGGATACTATGCTCACATGTCAGTCAGACTCAACGATATCCATTATTTTATCGAAATTTTCGATAATTGACCTTCCACACCGAAGAGGATGTTACACGTGACATCAAATTTACCGGAACGAAATCGACGAAACCAAAATTGTGCATGATTGGCTTAAACAATGTTTTGTTCTTCAGCTGCCCGAATTGCGTTTTCGCCTTTATTGAAGAGCAATTTTTTAGAATATTGCGCATTTTCGCTTTGCTGGTGTTCATCTTCTTGCTATCCGCTCAAACACTATTGAGTTAAGTGATCAACACTTTTTCATTATTTATTTTTGTGTACAATATTTCAGCTTTCTAACGTCATCTAGCGGAATCGAACTGAGATATAGGTCACTGTAGCCATCTAATGCAAAAATAATGGATGACCTTTTACTTGACTCAATTTGCTTGAATTTGCTTTGTATTAGAACCGCTATTGAAGTGGGAGTGGGAGTTTAATGATACTTTCCCGTTGAAGTCTTCTTGGAGTTCCAGTGTACGGAAGAAAGCGATTATGCTGCCAAAATGTATGCGTTTACGTTATTTTTTACCCGGAAAATAGTTTTTTTTTTCCAAATATTTGGCCACTATATGGAGTTCATGAGGAGTAGAGTCATGCTAGGATTTTTGAAAACGCACTTTTTTTCGCTCACGGGTTACTTTTGGCTTCTAGAATTTATTTGCAATTGGGTGTAAAGTGATAAAAAGTTTTCAAACCTTATATTTTGCTGCAGCCCCTCAGAGCGTGCGCTGAGTAGAATGAGAAGCTTAAACACGTTTTTCTCGAAATCATTGTTTTCTAACTGGGAAGACAGATCATTCGGATGCTATTGCATCGATTTATCTGAAATTTTGACAAACATATTTTTTCCTGCCGTTTTTTTTATTTAAAATCTTTATTTAATAATTTAGTGCATATTTTTTAGTCGAAAATCAATCTTTTTAAAAAAAAGTTAAAAAATAAATTAATTAAAAATTAAAATTATTTTAATAATAAATCCGTAGGTACTTCCAAAGACCATAGTTTGTAGATCATACAACCTTTTGCTTTTCTGCTCAGGTCCCAACCTTTAGAAGAAATCAGTTCTCCCGTGGACGGCTTTCTAAGAAACAAGGATTAAATATAATAGACTTTATAACCGTTATTTTGTAACGAAAAAATAATTAAAGAATATTTTTATATCAAATAAATGTTCAATGAAATGATTAAATTGAAATTCTATGCCTTTTCCCATAATCCTAAAATAAATTATAAGAAAGTAGTATTTTTTAACCTCTAGAGTGGCTTTACCGCTTAAAAGGAAAAAATATATATGTATAATCGGAAACGTTATGAATTGGGAGGAGGCTATGCTTTGAAAATTTTTTACTTTTTCGAGGAAACTACAAGCAGGCAAAGGCACTTGGAAAATAGCTTTTTGGTACATACTCGCACATACATATATACTTATATTTATGCATTCATACATATATAACCGAAAAACGACTTGTTTTTCAACAGCTATTTCTTTTTGTTGTTTTCCTTATGTTTCAGCCGAAATGTTCAATTTCTGTCACACACAAACACACACACACACAACCACCTTCAACATGCAACAGACCCCATTTTAAATTGGCAAACCTGCTGCATATTCAATGAATTTATTCGCATGCGAAAACTAAAAACAAAATACAAGACCAACAACAGCAGTGGCAAACAAAAAAAAAAATCAGAATCTTAAAACAAACATATGTACATACACGTATAACCATAAATGCATGTACATACAAATGTATGTAGGTATTTTTGTGAAAACATTTATATGTATATACATATATCAAAGTATGTATGTAAATATGTATTTCCAAAATGCTAAGTACATATGTATGTATGTACGTGTATGTATGTGAATGTATCTGTTTTGGACATAAAGCGTAGGACTCGCACGGACATGCCTACATTCATACATATAAAGAAACTTAGGGAAATTTAAATACATACATACACATACATATGAACATATGTACATTTCTAAATTTCAATCTCCATACATACATATTTATGTATATATTTCTAACTATTCCCATATGTACTTTCAGTTTGCGCGTCCATATCAATTTACAACATACATACATACATATTTACAAACATATATACGAATGAATATAAATTTGTTCATAAGTATGTATGTGTATGTATGTATGTCGGTAATTGTTGGCTCTCGCTTGCACCAACGCAATGCAACCGCGTATCGCATCTGTGTAAATAACAACAACCACAGCCGAATACCAATATAGGCAGTCTATGAGGTCCACATACGTGTATGTACATACATATGTACACACATATGTACATCTGGCTATACAGCAGAGTGAAGAGAGAAGTGTAATGTCGACGATGAAACAAAAATAATGAAGAAAAAATGCAATGCATTCATTCTCTTGTTTCTGGCCATAAATACAAATACAAATACAAAAACAAGGCACAACACTTGAATGCACATAAACACGTACATCCATACATACATCCATACATACATGCATACACATGTAGGTGTGCGTAAAGTCATGCATTTATTGTTGTATTTCGATTTGTAACCACATATGTATGTATGTATGTGTGTATGCATGTGTATGCACATACACACAATGGCTATAACTATGGCAATGGCTTTAGGCTGGGGCGCCATAAACCCAGCCTACTTTTATTATGTGCATTACGTGCGCCTTGTTGTTGCTCATGTTGTTGTTATTGCTGTACACAATGTCTCTCTTTCTATATTTTTTTTTTGTTGCAACAACTGGTATGCGTTACGAGCAATAGGCCGGACGAAGGTGGCTGCTGCGATAGGCACGTTTTACCAACATACATACAAACAAACATACATATATATGTACATACGTTATCGTAAGGTGAGCAGGGTTTTTGTTTTCACTTTGTTTTTGTTGTTGTGCATGTAGTATGGCAAGTTGGCAAAGTCAAGCTCTTTTTTGTGTGTTGTTGTGCGTTCGTACATACATATGTACACGTATGTATGTACAATACATATATTTACACGTTTTGTTTTTGGTGCGTCATCATGTAACGTGTGTGGGGTGGTTGGCTGTATGCGTTGGTTGTCCAGTCTTTGCTGTTGAAAAGAGATAGAATGCTTGGGATGTTGCTGAAACATGTTGCCAGTCGTCATTTTGATCGATTAACAA